GCCAAAACAAGCGAGCGCGTTAGCTAGAATGCGGCTCGGTTTGGCAAACCGCAACCTCTTTTCCACCAAAAAAGTTATTCATATTTAGCATTATTTACCTCGTATTTTTCGGTACTACCACAACTTTATGGAATTAATAGCTGAACCTCTGAGGCCAAGACTTTTGAACAAATACTAACAGTATCACTAAGTAGTTGTTAAGTGTGCATTATCAACTATGTTTTCAGCAATTTATTGTTCCCTCCAGTTTTAAGGTAAAGAATTAACACTACGTCATTTATCTACGTCACGTAAATGCTTTGCCTCAGATAAGAGAGAAAATACTTTAAACATTTTTTGTATGGAAAAATAATGCTTAAAAGCAAGCATCTAAAAAACAATATGCAATATATTTTTAGATTTAAATGTGTTTTTTCCCCACATCATTGTAGTGGAACCTTTGTTGGTAACAAGTTTTTGAAGTCGAAAAACTAAGTCAAGGAAACTAAGTTATCACTGATAATATTCCCTAAGGCAAGGAAGAGTAACAACAACTATTTACAAGACATATGTAAATGTTGAAGGGGCACTTGGATGAAATTGGAAATGAATTGAAACTTGGTTAAACTCATATTTACATGGCCCCAATAGTCGCCAAGCAACATCTTTCCTTCAAAGTTAATTGTTCTTTTAGCTTTTAAACCAAATTTTTCTTGGTGAGAGCGTGCTTAAAATGTTTTTGAAAGTCATCTATATTCATCGTTAAATTACGTCAACTAGGAATAATCAGTTTCCAATTTTGACGGGTTTTCGTTCAAGTGCCCCTTTAAAGTTTTGATGTTTTCAAACGATTATTTTCCATGAGGATACGTTAATGTTCTGCTACCCGTTGTTATTATTATTWTTTTTTTCATTACCAAGGTCCAATTAAATCCTAGTTGGTATTGAATGACAAAGTTCGGTTGCTCTTTTTAACATAAGTCAAACCCAGTATTACTAAATTCCTACGATGAATGCTAAGCCAGTGAATTATGTATTGCATTGTTAG